TTCGACGACGTGCCGCGAGTGGCAGTGGAACCTGGATTCTTGACACTGTTCTCAGCAGCCTTGCGTACACGGCGCTGCTTCTGCTCAAGACGTTCTTTTTCAGAAGCGGCAACCTCTACAAGGAAGGATACAAAATTGGTTAGCATTGAACAAGCTGGATAAACCACACTAGATTCGAAGTATTGGTGAGCACGAAATCACCTCTATAGGGTTTTTGACCTTGTCGCCATAGATGACGCAACAGAACGAGAATGGATAAAATAAATCAGTACCGAGAAAGTCCCTCTCAGTCTACCCTTGCTTTATTTTCCTTAACTAGGTTTCTGAGGCGGTCAGTGGGAGTACACGTTTCCCAATGTGCACTAGGGATGACGATGATCAACCAGAGGCGATCGCTAGTAAAAACAGCCTTTTCCACATTAAATTAACCCAATAATTGAGGGATGGTGTGTTACGTTACTCTCCTTTGAAAACAAACGGAGAACGCACCGCGGAGGTACCGTGGGCTCAGATTTCTTCTCGCTGCACTATCAATCTTCAGAAGCGAGGCGAGAACAGGAATACTCATAAGACCCGCATATTTATGGATCTTATCTGTGTACGATTGGTATTAGATCAGCCAATGGTTTAAGTCCTTGTTCATCAACGTCTACGAAGTCGAAGGGTGGTCTACGTAGCAAATCACATCCTGTTGACAGCAAAAGAAGTGACGAGATCGAAGGTTGTTATCAAGTAGCCTGTGAGGGCTAATCTTTCTCCTACTTAAGCAGTCAGCTGGTATTTTTCTGCATTTTCTGAGCCGTATACACTGCATGATTAAAAGCGTTCGAACACGAAATGAAACAAGTTACAAGCAGCAGACAGTTAGTATCATTGGAGATGAAAAAGTAACATGTCTTCAAAGAATTGATTAATACTGAGCTGTCATTCTACTATACGAGTTTTCGATGAATAATTAATGCCTGTTCAGTTCAAATTCTCTTCAGAACGCTTTGCACTGCTTTTGGTTTGCCTGGATGATGGTATGACTGATGATCATCTACCGCAGTTTTACAACAGCCAATTTTCCAACTTCGGACTCACACTCTTGCAACTCAAGGTGCTGGCAAGAGACAAACGTTAGCAATTAGGATGGGATCGAGACCGTCAGCTGGCGAGTTCAACAACTCTTGATAAACTGATTGTGAATGCTGCTTTGTCTTGCTGAGATGTCCAAACATCTGGGTAGTTGTAGAAATGAATAACAATAATGGCTGTTTCGTTACCGGAATACACGCGTAACGATCATGAATACCAATAGGTTTGTTAATTCCACAAGTTAAGAAGACCCCTCCGACTGAAATAGGTTTGACCTGTGCGAGTTTCGTACATTTTCGTTTATCATCAGTGATGATGTAGCTTCGTTGTTGACTCTGGGTGACGGGAGACTCGGAAAAATATGAGAATCATCTAAACTCAAGTCTGCCTACTCAAGTCTAATACGTTTCCTCATTTTTCCATACTGCGACAGTCCCGAATTCGCTGGACACACCCGCTGACAGCCACCGTTCGGAAGATTCTGATTTCATCTAGGCTCACACAACGAATTAGCTAACCAATGGTGTCTACGATCCCACAACACACATTTGGATATTAAGATGCAGAGCAGATGCAGATGCATGAGTCCACACGCCAGAAATCGAGTAGCTGGTTGGTATGGAAAAGGAATGCAGAACTAGCAGCCAAAATTTTGTCCAGACATCCTAAAAGCAACGCGAAGTATTTATATAAATCGCGTCACCAACTGACCGCAGTTCATTACTGGACATCTTTACCTCGATGAAAGAGCACTCAGGAACACACTTATAGTTTTCTACTTTTTGCAAATTCCACGTCAGTTCCTTGAAGATATCTGCCTGTGAGTTCTAGATTTCCCTTCTCACAGTAACCTGTATCCGAAACTAGTCCGTTTCATCCACTGGTAGCTTAGATAAGTTAGAGAACATAGTTAGTCTCCAGAGTTTATCGCAGAGTGCATTTCAAACCGATTCCCATTATCCCAAAGCGACAGAGGTGGTCAACTGCACAGTATCGTCACTTTCAGTATTAGGCTGACTGAAACTGCAGTTACGATAGGTTTTGTCGCATTAACAAAGACCGTTGAATATCGGGCTTAATGTTCGACACCTCTTGTATTATTTATGGACGCTCGAACTCGTTCAGTCAAACATATCGCGGCGTAGATAAAGGCTGTTTGCACTCACTGTATCTTGATAGGCCATGTCAAAGTGCTTATTTGCTCAGTTCACTATGTTTAACTCAATGGGTTAACGAAGGCAAAATGGTCGCAGTGGGGTGGAGACTGTAGAGCTTGGGAATCAAAGGTCACGGGGTGGGTTAGTGGCATAAGAGGAAATATCATGAGAAACAGGGTGGCATCAAGCAGACTGAAGGATACCATCAATAAACCATCATAAGAGGTGCTATCTAGAAAGAAGAGTGGCTGGGAAGGACTGAGATTTTCCCATATTTACCTAAATCACCAAGTTCCAGAGCGCGAATATCAGGACGGAATCGACTGTCTGTGGGTGGGAGAAGAGAACGCGGACTTCGACTCAAGCCATTCGTTTCTGACAAGGGCAGCTCGAATTGCGCATTTCGTAATTCTGGGGAAAGTTCATTGAGACCGATTGCGAACTGAGTAAAGTTGTAATAACTTCCGGAGTGTTCCGGACGAGGTGAAGCCCGCCACAAACATCGCTGTTCGGGCAACGGAATCTCGAAACCAAATTCACTGGATTGAACCATGTCACCATCTTGGCTGGGGTCGAAAGATTTGCTTCGAGTATAGTGTGCCTGGGTGATAAACACATACGAGTCGAGAAGAGTTTAGTGACGTTACTGTGTTCTACAGTAACTGATTCCTGGACACAAACAAATCAAGTGACCGAGCAATTGGTCGACCGAATTACTAAGTCAACGCATTGCATGGAAAATTGGACAAAAATGTGACATTCACCCGCAGCATACAAAAACCGTCAACTATAAAGGAGATCTGAAAATGGGTCATTTGGCGTTGTCCCAGTGCCTGTTGTAAGATAAGTCGTGCGGGTAAGGGTAGTCAAGAGAACCCACGAAGTCACCTTAAACTTGTACTGCAGCTTGGTTGATGTAACGGACACAATGAATTGTTAATGAAGGTTTCGTCCTGTAAGTGCTGAAAAGCCAAGAACCACTGTACGGCTGCCTCAAACAGGAAGTGAGAAGCTATCACTCGAAAGACTATGTGATTTGGATTCCGTGATTGAAGGAGAAGAAGCGCTTCATCCCGTTTAAATGAGAGTTGGTCACGTTGCAGGTTAGCCACTCGCTACCAAACGGTCAAGTGTTTAAACTACGAACCAGAAGGTCGCAGATTCGAAACTCCCTACTGGAGTTTCGTGAAATGCTTACAGCTGATGCTTCTCAATGAGGATTAAACAGCCTATCCACTTAGATTGGCTGTACGGGGCGGGATTTCCTCGGCAGTAATCAAGAATTAGCTGTCAAATTAAAACCCGTCCATTTAAACAATCCTCGACTGACAACGATAATTTGTGAACAAACACAAAATTGATGCTCTGCAAACCACACCTTTCCTGACTAAGTTTGAAGAAGTTTTGTGCCTTAAATGTCTCAGCACGATTGTCGCCAGTCAAATGTCCACAAAAATGTTAAATTTTAACGAAACACCACTCAGAGGTATGTAGAAATGTGTAAAATCATCTCTTACTCAGTAGTTTGTAGGATATAAAAGGCCGTAAACGCCGCAATCTCTAATTCTTTAAAAATTTCGCGAAGAATGGATATCGCGAAATGAAAATGATCATTTTGTCGTGAGTGAACAAGCGGGTTTATCCCATCAGGAACTCCCACGAAGCTAAATCTTAGTGGGCTGAATAGTATTCAGAGCTCGAATCCAACAAATACCGATAACCAGCAGCACGTACAAAATGTCTCCGCGCCTTTTGTGGTGATCGAGGAAACGCGTTTTTTGCACAGCGCAGAATTTCGTACAAAATGACTCACATGTGAAAGTCAGACCTTCCACCAATTCAGTGCAAACAAGTTTATTCGGGCTCTCACTTGCCTGAGTCACACAAGTGACGATTGGTTGATTGTGCTGAAACGACAGTAACTAATTAAATGCAGGATTGGTAGTTTTCATCATTTGTTGAACAACCGCTCATCCATTTCGATCTAACTGTAAACTCCTGAAGAAGCGGAAAGTTCATGATTAAGTAGTAGGACTGCATACATGCTGGTCCGTGACATTGACCTGGCCTACGTGTAGTTTCGTTAACTTAGGATAAAAGCACCGTTCAGTGTTGGCTTGCCTAGTGAGCTTCAGTTGTCATGAGTGAGACTAACCATGGACAGGTGGGCGGGTTGATTATTAAGAACAGGAAGTGCTAGCAAAGTACAACTCGTATTCACAGTGACAAAACAGACTGAGGTTCCGACATTCGTCACTCGGTTATTACCAACTTCATTCGACCCCAGTAAGTTCCACGACACTCCGCTGAAGTTCAGCAAAATCATGGGGCCACATCGATTTTGCCTGCAATACACTAAGGAAGTTTAACAAACCTCATAGACGATCAGCCATCATATCGAAAGTGAAGAAAACTAAGATTCTAAAAGGCAAAAAAGTGTATTCTACAGAGGAAAATGTCGGTAGCTCAGGTAGCGTAGATGGTGGTCAATGGTGGGTAATTTGATTGCCAATTGCCCAGCTCAGCGAACAAGCCAACAACCACCAAGTAAGTGTCTAATTTTGTCTTATAATATACTACAAACCCAGTCTTCTCTATGTAGCTTCTATTGTAGCCTGCCAACAGATATAGAGAATGACATGGGATCGTAGGTTGAAAGTTTTTCCAAGTCAAAAGGTATGCCTGTTCACGATACACACACTAGCTGCATATATGCGCTGGCAACAATCTATTGATTGATTCAGGTGGGACGGAGTTGTGGGCACCGTTAAATGAATGAGAGATTAACCCACGCTGCCTCCTCGTTTATCCTGCTAATTGACTGAAACTTGTCTGCCACACACCCAGGCATTCCTCCAAGCTACAATGGGGGGTCTCGGTGTAGTTGAGAGAGGTTTTGAACAACATAAAGGAACTGAAATAAATCTATCGCTTAAGGTGTGCTGCGCTAACACCCCACCCACGTGGTTCAGTTTGGCGAGTATTCAAGATGTTGAAGTGTTCTTTATTCACACTATTTTGTACTTGCTAAATAGAGTTTCAGCACCCAACTGAACATAGGAGACGTTAAACAGTTACCTGCAAGCTGATAGTCAAATGAATACCTTGCCTACGATATTGTTTGTCCGAACTTCACACTAACGCTCTCTCAACTTTCAAATGGTGATCTGACTTGTTAGAAAATCTTCCCATTGTGAAGGTGTCCTCAAGCGAACTAAAATTGCAGATCAACCATTTAACACTCATAGAGATTTCTCCACAGAACGGCAGATAGCAATCCAGAATCCTCGCCGTTTGTTATATATGGTATTCTCCAAAACACAGGTGGTGGGTAATTGCATGGAATTTAATTGCCTTTATTGGTAGATTTCCTGCAACTAGAAACGTCAGTGAGTGCACCCGATTAGAAGAGAAAGGTGTGTGGATCCTAACCACACCGCTGCCGCAGGTGCACACCTGTAAAGCATGGTGGCAAGGATAACACATTTGGATTCAGTTAAATGCAAATAAAGTTACACCCCATGTGCAGGCTATCAGAATGCGGTACATTGAGGGCTCCCACGAACAGCGTATAGGCATTCCCGAGAAGTATTCGCCGATATTAATCAGGATAACGGAAATTTTCATCTGAGATTTCGCCCTGTCAATGATGTGAATCCGAGAAGCACTTAACGGCTATTTCATCCCTATTAAGGATAATCATCACTATGCATCTCACGAAACCGAGATTTTGGAACCCGCAACCTTGCGGTCAGAGGTCAAGAGCAGCACTGTGATTTTCTTTCGGTTAGAAATTATAGCGCCACTCAGAATTCGCATCACGTTGTCACGTAATTACTGACTACTCGAGCAACAAATTCTCATTTGGGGCTTTCGCTTATCTTGTGGAGTTTGTGTTCCTCTGAGCCACTTATTGATTGGCGGTAGCGTGAGAAGGCTTGGGGATTTTCAGCTGAGATTTCGTCCTGTCATTAATGTGGTTTCCGTGACCGCAGGGTGGGTGACGCCATTTCCTGTGTAAGTGAGAGCTAATCACACTGCTGATCGACCATTCCTGGCCAACCATTTAAGTGGTAAGCAGTGGCTGGAAGGTCGCTTGTTCTAAACCCTGAGTTTTGTGAGAGGCACACTGCTGATGATTCGCAACAAGGACGAAGCAGCTGCACAGTGCTCCTCGGCTCCTGAAGAAGCGGAAAGTTCATGATTAAGTAGTAGGACTGCATACATGCTGGTCCGTGACATTGACCTGGCCTACGTGTAGTTTCGTTAACTTAGGATAAAAGCACCGTTCAGTGTTGGCTTGCCTAGTGAGCTTCAGTTGTCATGAGTGAGACTAACCATGGACAGGTGGGCGGGTTGATTATTAAGAACAGGAAGTGCTAGCAAAGTACAACTCGTATTCACAGTGACAAAACAGACTGAGGTTCCGACATTCGTCACTCGGTTATTACCAACTTCATTCGACCCCAGTAAGTTCCACGACACTCCGCTGAAGTTCAGCAAAATCATGGGGCCACATCGATTTTGCCTGCAATACACTAAGGAAGTTTAACAAACCTCATAGACGATCAGCCATCATATCGAAAGTGAAGAAAACTAAGATTCTAAAAGGCAAAAAAGTGTATTCTACAGAGGAAAATGTCGGTAGCTCAGGTAGCGTAGATGGTGGTCAATGGTGGGTAATTTGATTGCCAATTGCCCAGCTCAGCGAACAAGCCAACAACCACCAAGTAAGTGTCTAATTTTGTCTTATAATATACTACAAACCCAGTCTTCTCTATGTAGCTTCTATTGTAGCCTGCCAACAGATATAGAGAATGACATGGGATCGTAGGTTGAAAGTTTTTCCAAGTCAAAAGGTATGCCTGTTCACGATACACACACTAGCTGCATATATGCGCTGGCAACAATCTATTGATTGATTCAGGTGGGACGGAGTTGTGGGCACCGTTAAATGAATGAGAGATTAACCCACGCTGCCTCCTCGTTTGTTCTGCTAATTGACTGAAGCTTGTCTGCCACACACCCAGGCATTCCTCCAAGCTACAATGGGGGTCTCGGTGTAGTTGAGAGAGGTTTTGAACAACATAAAGGAACTGAAATAAATCTATCGCTTAAGGTGTGCTGCGCTAACACCCCACCCACGTGGTTCAGTTTGGCGAGTATTCAAGATGTTGAAGTGTTCTTTATTCACACTATTTTGTACTTGCTAAATAGAGTTTCAGCACCCAACTGAACATAGGAGACGTTAAACAGTTACCTGCAAGCTGATAGTCAAATGAATACCTTGCCTACGATATTGTTTGTCCGAACTTCACACTAACGCTCTCTCAACTTTCAAATGGTGATCTGACTTGTTAGAAAATCTTCCCATTGTGAAGGTGTCCTCAAGCGAACTAAAATTGCAGATCAACCATTTAACACTCATAGAGATTTCTCCACAGAACGGCAGATAGCAATCCAGAATCCTCGCCGTTTGTTATATATGGTATTCTCCAAAACACAGGTGGTGGGTAATTGCATGGAATTTAATTGCCTTTATTGGTAGATTTCCTGCAACTAGAAACGTCAGTGAATGCACCCGATTAGAAGAGAAAGGTG